GACCATGCCTTCTGATTGACCCTCACCCGGAACCTCTATCATGTCATTGAACCCAAACTCGTTCATTAGGCTACCATGGTTAGTCATTCTAGTTTCCAATAGGGACACCATGCATGGGTGATGGGTGGATATTAAGTCATGAAAGTTTCGTTTAAATTCACCATTGTTACCACCTCTTATATTCCAGATAACTATATTTTTAGCAAGATTCATTTGAAGGTGATTTGGGGGGACAGGACCATTGACTTGTACTGGTTGTGGGAATATGGGGTTCCTTCTTAGTGAGGGAACAAGAATCATAGCTAGTTTCCCCATAGTTGGGTCCTGGGGAGGCCTCATGTCCACTGTGCATTTGAACAGTGAGAGTGGACATGTAAGAATAAGCCTCTTCTCCCTCATCTCCTCGAATAGATATACTTTTACTTCGTCTAGGTTTGAAACCTCGACTGTATGCTCCCCTATAAGATCTATCTCCCCCTCCATTTCTTCCTCCCCTGGATTTCCTAGGTTTTGAGCTATTGGAGATTCTTGAAAGTATGGAATTATTGGAGCTTGGTTCACTGGAACCTCCTGTTGCATGTGGTTCTGGGCTAACTCCCAGTTCATTAGGATTGGGTTCAAGGCCATCATCTCCTGGGGTGGGAAGAAGGGCAGTTCCAGGCCCATGTTTTGCGGGAGGTATGTGTTTTGAGCATAGTGAGGGGGGAGATTCCACTGGGCCCTCATTGATTGGATAAGGTTGTTGTTCATCCCCGGAGCAAGTGGTTGCATGATGTTGTTTACCCAAATATGGTTTAGATAATTGCTCATTGAAAAATGTAGACCCTCTGAAACTACTTGGGCTAGGAATTGTGGATTGTTGATGAGTATGATGCTCTCCTGGCCGTTGATCATCACTTGAAGTGAGATCCCCCTCCCCATTAGACCTAGTTCTATCCAGCTTGTCGGATGATGATTTTGTGGGAGAGGGGGCTGGGCATATACCACTGGTAATGGGAGCATTTGTTGGGGTAGTGGTGGTAAGTTTTCCATGGGAAGAGCTTGGAGGTTTCTTAGTATTCTGATTAATCGATATCTTCTCCGGTTGCTTGGAGGGAGTCTTGGCATTTTCAGTTGAAGAAGGAGAGATATATTGCAAGGAGGTGGTAGGGATGGAGGGTATTATTAGGTCTACTTGCATGCTTTCCGGCTGGGTTAGCGTGTTTGGAGATATAGGAGATATTGCATGGGAGAATTTTGGCACGTGGAGACTGGATTGTGCCATTTGGGTGGAGTAGCTATTGTTATTGGGCATGGCTGTAGCGGCGTGCATTAGGAATAGGGGTGTTGGATTATTAGGGTTGTTTGGGAGTAAGGTAGAGTTTAAATGATGATTATCATCTACATGTGATATATTAGATTGGGTGGAAGTGATTTTAAATGAAGGGTTAGTTATAGCAGGTATTTTGTCCTGTAGTGCCACTAAGTGTGTTTTGTCCTTATTAGAGGATTGGACCGGGTTCAGAGTATTGCCAGCTTGGTATATTTTTGTGTCCAAATTAGTGGTATTGTTGGAGACCATGGGCTGGTTTAGGGTATTTTCAATTTCCGAGTTATTAATAATTAATTGAGAGGAATTAGCTAAGACAGTTTCATTGTTTATAGAAGCAGTATGATCATAATTATCGGAAGAAGTTTTTGGAATAAACTTTGTAGTCTTTGATGGCGAAACCTTACCTGGATAGTGCCTCAAATCTTTGTTAGTATTACCTGGAGTTTGGACTTTAGTTTTAGATACCTCTTTGCCTTTGCTCTGTTGACCTTTCCCACGGCGAGGAAATTGAACAGTTTGCCAGCCTCCCTCATCTGTTGTAGTTGATGGAAATTCATTGTACACTTGATTTGTTAGACCTGAAACAATTTCTTTTGCGGATTGCTTCTCACAGACTAAATCCTTATGGCCTAGAAAACCACACTTTTTGCAGAGATAATTGCTTGCTTCATATTGTATCTCTTGTTTGTGGCTCCCAATTGGAATATATTGTCTGACTGGTTCATTCATCGGCACTTCTATGCATAATCGGGCATAACGCCCTCTTAGCGAAGAGGAAGTGCAGGTGTCCACCCTAAGGAGTTTACCAATAGACTTTTTCACTCTTTGGAGTATTTGTTCGTCGTAAAACTCCGTAGGTAGCTGTGGCAATCTTACCCGTACTGCAGTATGGCTATGTTTTGCCGAGTTTGCAACGAATTTTGGGATCCATCTTTGAGTTGACAAAAAATGTCCAAAGACAAACCATGGTCCATCTTGTAGGATATGGTTCATACTTTCCTCTAGTTGAAGTTTTACTATGTAATAGTCATTTCCTAGGTCTATGAGAGGGAAATTCTCTTTAAGCTTCCATAGGAATTGAATTTTTTGTTTTAGTAGTTGGTGAAGGATCCTTTTGCCATGGAGTTTTATGATGAGGGAATGCTTCCATGGTTGGTAAATCCTTTTCTTATCCTCATTTGAGATGGATATTGAGAGCAGTTTTTCCCCACTGATTCTTCGTTAACCGATAGTGAGATATCTTCAGTTATTTCCATTGGGAAAGAGTCAGAGTCAACGTAATATAAGGAAGAAGCAGAAAAGGTTTCGTTTTTTAAAAGCACTTTTTTGAAATTTAACTGGTGGGAGTCGTTTGGGTTTTTTGTGCTTTCTTTGTCTGAAGAAATTAAATGAGATAGCTGATCTGGAGGCTTGGGAGGGATGTTTGGATCTGCACCGGTATTTTCAGCTGTATTTGAATCAGTATTCATTTGTGGGCTCCGATGAGAAGAGTTATGGGAAGTGGGAAAGAAGATTTAAAGAGCTTTTGGTTTCAACTCTAGAGAGAGAAATTCCAACTTGAATTCTTCTTTCTTCTCGAATTGTGATGCTATGTTGAAAGATTGTATTGGGGGATGGGATTTAAGATAAATTATGCAAACAATCAATCGTGAATTATCAACCGGATTTGAATTCCTCATTTAAATTTATTGATTCTAAACGCAAACTAATTCATTATGCCGAAAAGCCTTGGTAGTCTTCGTCATGTATATTTATAGTATCAATCGTCAAAGAGAAGATTTTATTAAGAACTTGTATTTTTTTTCCTTTATTACTTTTATAATAGAATTTTTTTTTAATGAAATAGTTGTGTTTTTAAATAGTGTAGTTATAAAGCGGGGTTCACGCGCGAGGCGCGTATCCAAAGCTAGTATGAATAGAAGCAAAGAATCTTGTTTTATTATTGGGATAATACATAATTACCCCTCTCAATTAGACTCAGTTGGCCAATTACATACTTAAACTTTGCGGTGATTGAATAATCCCCTAAACTATTTAAAGTAGAATTATTTCACCATTTTTTGTTGACATGGCATAGAAAGTGATTACACTCTCCATTAAACGCGTGAGAAGCAAGTAGAAAAGCATTCTTGACCAGAAAATCAGTAACATTGGCTGGAAAAATTCGTTTTTGACCGTCCAAGCTCCATCATTCCACTTTTCACTCCATCTATAATTTTTTTCTCAATTATTTCAAAACCCCACCTTTTATATCTCACTAACCACAAACCCAACTATGATTTTCCTATAAATTTATTTCAAAGACAAATCTATATTTTTTTTACTGAGTCTAGTATTGTTATCAAGATATTCACTATATTACTTCTGAGCAATTTTCTCGCTTTGGAACTTTTAATATAAACGATAATAGTAGTATTACTAATAGGGTTTTAAATTTTTTATTATTTACATAAGAAAGCAAAGGGAAAATGAGACTAGTGTTCTTGCGATTTTTTCTTCACTATTTGGGAATAAAATCGGTATGATCTATTGATTTCTCAGTTGGACGATGGTGGCTTGGTAGTGGTTTGGATTTCGTGGTTTATTTGTGATGATTCAGTAGGTGGTTTTAGTTTTATGATTTTTGGTGGTTCAAATTGGTGAAAATATGATGAGTAGAAGATGGTGGGAGAAAAAGTGGAAAAAAAACAAAAAAATATTTTTGAAAGAAAAAAATAACGTGGCAATACATGTGGAGTGCCTGAGTACCGCTACCCAACTAAATCTGGTCTTAGTTAGGGGTGGTAATAATTTTACATTGAACAAGTTTAGGAGGGTTATAGGACCTCCCCGCAAACTTAAGGTGTGTAGATGAAAAAATGGGATAATTTAAAATATAGAAGTCTTTTTATACAGAGGTTACATGAATATAGTAAAGAAAAGGAAGCAAAGAATCAGAAATATTATTTACAGTGATCAATATATAAGAAATGTTATTAACATAACAAGATAGCAAGAGAAACTATAGCAATCATTTGATGACTGAATCTCTACCGGAAGATATTTCCTTATTACGCCCCTTAAGATGGTGGGTCGTTTGGAAACATCAATCTTGAAGCAGTTTTTCTCAAAAGGACCACATAACAGAGCTTTGGTAAACAAGTCAGCAAGTTGGTCACCGGAACTGATGTGGACGACATGAAGAACTTTACTTTGAATAAGCAGACAAACCAGTATTCAATCTTAATGTGCTTTATTTTGGAATGGAAGACCGAATTCGCACAGAGGTAAGTAGAACCAAGATTGTCACCAAAAAGTGCAGGAACATCATCCATCGATACGTATAACTATCGAGAAAGATTAATAATTCAGCAAATTTCAATAGTTGTAGAAGCCACTACACGATATTCGACTTCAGTTGAGGATCGTACAATAGACCTTTGTTAGCGAGAGCACCAAGATACTGGACTTTTGCCTATGAAAACAACAAAATCACTTGTTGAGCACCAATCATCTTTGTTTCCCCTCAATCTATATATGAATAGGCATGCAAAGCTAATAGAGAATTGTGATAAAGAAAGATCTCATGATTTTTCGTACCTTTAAGATAGCGCAAGACCCGCTTGAGAGAAGACCAAAGGCGTTTAGTTGGTTGGCTTGAAAACTGAGCAAGCTTGTTTATAAAAAATGGATATTAGGACGAGTGAAATTAAAGATATCGGAGGAAGCCAAGAAGTGCTCGATACTGTGCCGGAACAGTATAGTAGGAGCTATCAGCAAGGCCTAAGTTATGAGTGACTGAAATTGGGGTTGAAACTGCCTTGGCTTCAAGCATCTGAGCACATTCAAGGACATCCAAGATGCACTTATGTTAGGACAAGAACAGTCTTTTAGTGGTTCGATGTGCCTCTGTGCAAGAAAATAGCCCAGATCACCACGGTCTTAAAGGAAAACCTATTGTCAAGACGCTCAACAAATTGATTAGTGGCAAGAGAAGAAAAAACAATAACAATCAAGTCATCAGCATAAAATAGTAAATACAATGAGACACCTGAGCATACGTAAATGAACGAGGAATTATATGAGTGTGCCATAGTAAAATTTGAGGCAAGCAAATATGATTTTAGTTCAGAAAACCATGCACGAGATGTCTGCTTGAGGCCATAAATGGCCTTATGAAGCCGACAAACATGAGTTGGATTAGAGGAGTCAACAAAGCACGATGGTTGATTTATGTAAACTTCCTCTTGTAGCATTCCTTAAGGAAAGCATTACTAAAATTCACTTGTTGAAGAGGCCAATTCTAACAATGGCAAGCCCTGTTCTTTGATGGAAACCTTTGGTGACGAGCCGCGTCTTGTACGTGTTGTTGACACAACCCTGTAACACAAATTATTGTCAAATGTTGCATTATCTTAAATTATTGTCATACTTGGTCCAACTGCATAATCTATTCACAGTTGTTTCAAAGTATTGTGATTAATCTTGGATAATCTTAATTAGGTACCTTGGCATTCTTTGAACTAGTTCACGGCCAAAATGGTTGAAAGCTACCGTGACTTTCATGCTTCTGTCTGCAGTATATTCATCATTGTGCCCCAACAACATAACCTAGAAATTTGATTTAAGGTCAAAATTAAAAAGATCACTACATCTTTCTGTCAAACGCAGAACCAAGATTTTATTTCAGTTATTATTTTACAACTAAATCAATCAACCATACATCAATTTCAAGTCAGTTGGGGTGTAAGCTTAGCATAAATGTGCATGTTAAAAAAATCCAACTACATAAAGTTTGACTCAAAAGCAGTAATGTGCATTGAAAAAGTTGGAGACTTACTTTGTCATGCTCAGTGAAGTAACTGTTCGATATAGTTACTGCAGTTGAAGCATGAATAACATCGAGTAGACCATCTGTTGCACGAGCAAGATAACAATGATCAATCCAAACATTCGATGATCCAAACACACTTATCGCATCACTATCAGAGGCTGATCTTTCACCAACATGTTCTGGACTACTACGAACCATCCTTTTTTTACTAGGCTTACAATCATGGATACTAATCCCATGAATAATAACATTTGTAACATAGTCCAATGTTATGCATGGACCATTAGAAATCTCAACTCTCCTCAATAGGGAATGATTAATCACCAGGTATGGATGGATACAATGCATACTTCTTCAAAAAAGTATGGACTATTGTGAAGGCAGAAATTGTTGAAGCTATTAAGGAGTTCTTCAAAACTGGGAAAATGAATAGGGCAATTAACTGTACAACTATTACTCTGGTTCCAAAGACTACCAAGCTAAATACAATGAAAGAGTATAGACCTATTGCATGTTGTTCTGTGCTATACAAAATGATTGCTAAAATACTAGCCTCTAGATTGCAAGAAGTGGTTCCAGATATCATTTGTGAGGCCCAGGCAGGGTTTATACCAGGGAGGAAAATAGCTGACAATATCATACTTGCTCTGAGCTAGTCAAGTCCTATACAAGGAAGAATGTATCTCCTAGATGCATGATAAAAATTGACTTGCAAAAAGCATATGATTCTGTTGAATGGCCATTTTTGAGGTAGATGCTCATTGAGCTTGGATTCCCAGATCAATTTGCTCTTTGGATAATGGAGTGTGTTCAAACAGTAAACTATACTATGATGATCAATGGTGATCCAAGTGGACCTTTCAATGCAGCTAGAGGGCTTCGACAAGGAGATCCAATATCTCCTTTCCTATTTGCAATTGAGATGGAGTATCTAAGTAGACAACTCAATGAACTGAAGGAAGATAGATTATATCAGTTTCACCCAAAGTGTGCAAAACTAGGTATTACACATCTTAGTTTTGTGGATGATCTGCTGCTGTTTACCAAAGGGAACTTATCTTCTATTACTGCTATCTATAAGTGTTTCAGACAGTTCTCTGAAGCTTCAGGATTGCAAGCTAATCTTGGGAAGAGTTGTGTGTATTTTGGTGGAGTTAAGAAGGAAACTCAAGACATCATATTGAGTCATTTGTGGTTTGTGCATGGAAGTTTGCCTTTCAAAAACCTGGGAGTGCCTCTATCAACAATGAAGATCACTTTAATGCAATGGCAACCGCTAATAGAGAAGATCACAGCTAGAATTACCTCTTGGACATCCAAAAAACTGTCTTATGCAGGCAGAACTCACTTAGTCAAGTCTATGTTGTTTGGAATTCAAGCATATTGGGCTCAGCTATTTCTTATACCTGCAAAAGTCCTGAGAACTATAGATGCTTACTGCAGGAGTTATGTATGGTCAGGCAGCAACACAATCGCCAGGAAAGCTTTGGTGGCATGAGATAGAGTATGCAAGCCTAAGTCAATGGGAGGGCTAAGCATTATCAACATAAAGCTATGGAACCAAGCTGCTCAAATCAAGACATGTTGGGATGTAGCTTATAAACAGGATAAGATGTGGATTCAATGGATTCATGCTTACTATGTTAAAGGTAAGCCATTGATGGATATAACAATCCCAGCACAAGCAAGCTGGATTACTAGGAAGATACTGAAAGCTAAGGAAAACTTACATTTGATACCTGCTGCCAAGACTACAAGGAGCATAACAAATTCTATTTACCATCAACTTCTCTCTGCAATGAGGCCAGTACCTTGGAAATGTCTTATGTTCAAGAATGATGCTAGACCTAAGGCAATCTTCATAATGTGGCTACAACTACAGGGGAGACTAGCTACAGCAGATAGATTAGTGAGATGGGGATTAACAATGGACACAACGTGTGCACTATGCTAGACTCAATTGGAAACAAAGGAACACCTGTTCGTTGAATGTGATTTTGCTAAGGCTCTATGGAGGAAGCTGCAGCACTGGCCACAATGGAAAGAAACAGCAGAAACATGGAACCGACACATAGATTGGGCTATTCAAAGAGCCAAAGGGAAGTCACAACAAGCTTAAATTTTTAGAATGGTGTATGCTGAGTGTATATATGCGGAAAGGAATCATAGAGTTTTTGAAAAGAACTATAGGAGCTGGAAAACAATTGTGCGTGAAATAGCCTATATCTGCCATATAAGAGCAGTTCCCAGAGTCAAGGTTTTGTTACAGAGTTTTGTGTTTTAGTTTCTAGCTTTAATTTTCAGTTGAGAACTACTTGTACATAGTGGAGAGTTAAGGATAAGGTAGAATTTAGATAGCTAATTGTGTTGATTAGCTATGGTTTTGTACAGTTTCAAAGGTGATTAATACAATAGTTTAGTTACCAAAAAAACAATAAAAAAATAAATAAAGAAGATATTTACATAATAATCTAAATTGAAAAAACTAGATGGATAATTTCTTGAAGAAATAATTAAGATAAATAATGTCAGAACTCAGAATAAAGGGGCACAAACAAAATAAATAACTTCTTGCCTATCCATATACTGCTACTTATAAGGAACGGAAACATACTAGTAGGATTTTTTTAACGCTCCTTCAAATGAAATATTATTTTTATAGGTTGTTTTAGAAGATTTCTGACTGTTTACATATTTATCAGAAAGAATTACAAGAAAATACACGTGACTTCTTGCTATAACAAAAAATGGCCCATGCTTTTAAGTTTTACCCTACCTAGCCCATATTGTACATATTTTGAAAGCATTAGCAAATTCAAAACCTGTGTTCTTACATTCCTTGTTTCTAAAAGCTATGGAGTTAAATCTGTGATCTCACAAACATTGCTTTCACTCTCTCTTCTTCTCACATCTTCTACATATGCTTTAAAGGGCCGTGTATTTTCTGTTTCTCCCCCTGTTTGCAATGTCAGAAAATTGAAGAGTAGAAGTCCACCATTGAAGGCCATTCAAAGCTTTGCTTTCGAAAATAAGATTTTTTGAGTTTGTTAGTTGTTTGGATTGGGTGTTGTTCCAATTGATTGAAAATATCAAAAGGAGTTCAAAATTTAAATTTGAAGTGATTTGAGTAGTTGGGCAAGATTTGAGTTAAATTTCAGAAAAGACGCAAGGTAGAAGACGAAATCAGTTTTTTGTATAATTAAGTATAATCTTGTATAATAGTGTATATGGGTGTATAAACACATCTTATACACTTTTATACACCTTTATACAAGCGTCTGTAGACGAACTTCTTTCACAATTTCCAGTTACAATTCTTGTTCAAAACCAATCCAAATCTCCATTAAATGACTTCAAATTTTATATACTACCTCCTTATACTATTTCTAATAAGTCTAAATAACACCCACTCTAAAATGTTAAACCCACATATTTAAGCTTGTTAAAAATCTAATTTTCACCACCCAAATGGATTTGGTTTGTTGAACTAATATTTGAGTCACAGTTACTGATTCAAAAATTAACTTAAAAGCTTGAGTAATCTTTTTCAAAAATTAAATAGTAATTTTAAGAATCTATTGGAGTTGAATGTTGAGTATTAGCCTATTATTTTTGGGCTAGTTGGTTGTAAATTAAAATATCTGCTATAAAATAAAAAAATAGGGAGCCCAGTTATTCTTATGTGAAATTTTCCCATTTTATCATCTTAACATAATAATCTAAACTGAAAAAACTAGTTAGATTATTTCTTGAAGAAATAATTAAGATAAATAATGCCAGAACTTAGAATAAAGTGGCACTGGACAGAATAATAACTTCTCGCCTATCCATATGCTGCTACTTATAAGGAAAGACTCAAAACTCAAAAGTCGAGACCTCTAGTTAAGGGAATAACAACCCCATCCGTTGCACCATATTCTTTTGTGGTGCAAGTTTAACCACGGTTTAGGGGTTAGTATAGTGAAACAAATATTGGTATGGACAGGTGTAGTAATCACTCTGGAAAGGGCCAAATTTCAATAGGATATATAAAACTTGGGGTAACAACCATCCTAACACACTTTAAAAACTCCTCCCTTTCTCCCATAAACGGTCTTCAATTCTCCTCTTTTGAAAAGTCCGAAAGTCCTCCACTAAAAACATATCACTTTTAAAGTTCCCAATTAATTGAATAGAAGAAAATGGTGGAAGGGCAAGACCCAGTAGAGGTATTCATGAGGCTAGAACGGTGGCCTCTATCACCGCTTGAAGTGGAGGCGGAGGAGGAGGAGAACGAGTCCCAGTCATCAGGGGAGATGTACATGGTGGGTTTTGTGATCGCCAACGTTGTGGGTCTTCAGTACTACAGTGGTAGAATCAGCGGCCGAGAAATCGTTGGCCTTCAACGTGAACCCCTCAATCAGTATGACCCAAACGCGATTAAAGTTCTCAACACTCGTTCCGTTCAAGTTGGACACATCGAACGCTCCGCCGCCAGGGTTTTATCACCGCTTTTGGACGCCCACGTCATCACCATTGACGGTAATTCTTTTTCTTTTGTTCTTCCCTCATATGTCATTCAATGGTTAAAAGAATCTGAAATTGTTTCAAACCTCCGGTAATTGCCCTTCATTTTACTTTTCGAATTTTAGCTTCAGTAGTTGGATAACTTTTTGAATTCCGTACTCATGGGTTGCTTGCATCACCTTAGGATCTTGGATGTAGGAATCAAAATTTAGTCGAGTGTAAATTTAGATTCTGTTTCTTTCTCTTTCCACTATTACCTAAGTTTTTCTACTGGAGAAGCCGGTTTGTTCTTTAGTTATAGACTTACAGTCTGTGACTCTTCAAATGTTATGAGAATGATGCTTGATTGTTATCGGTCTGTTTGTAAATAAGTTTGTTTATCATTTCTGCATAGGAATTGTTCCAAAGGTGGCTCGTCCAGGAAACAGATACAAACTCCCCTGTCAAGTTCACATCTTTGCGAGATTGGAGGCATTTGGAATTGTAAAATCAGCAATTACAAATGGTGGGTTGTATTTGATTGGCGAGAGCGATCCGTCGTTTACACTTTCTGAGGCGGAGGTAGTTAAGGAAAAAAGAAGTACACCAGAAGGGAGGGACATCGATGAGATATTCAAGCTTTTGGATGAAAAAGTCAGTAAAAAGGAAGAACTGAAAGCATTGGAGCCACCCAAAAATATAATAAAGTCGGA